GAACAGAATGATGAAGCCTTGTGAAGCAAAACCTCACCTCTGACAGTTTTGCTTGGGTCAGGGTCAAAACTATCTCGTTTTTGTTCATTGTTTTAATGGGGTGCGAGGGAGATGTAAATACTGCCTCTTTGTTTGTGAGCCAAGGGTGTTTTAACCGTACGTCAGAAATTGTTACACCTGATATGAAAAACCACTAAAAGATATTCCTTATTCTTAAATGACTGACACGGCAATCTGAGAAGGCAGACTTTCATGAATTGACTCCTACTCGCCAGATTTTTTTCACCAATTGTAAGGATCATATGCAAACCAAGTTCTCTAAGAGTACTAAAACTACCTAAAAAAACACTACGCAAAACCCGCATTATACTTTTTCTTAACACCACGCAGTTTGTTCTTGCAAAAAAAAAAGTTAAAAAAAGCTTTTCGACCTTAATACCACATTGGCGTATGTGAGAAAAATCACAGGAAGCATAATAAAAGTAACAGAGTCAGAGCAGTAACACGTTGTTTGTAGCTATTGAAAAGACTGGGTTCAAGTCATTTCGTTGCCAGTTGCTACCTGTTTTATGCCGGTATTCCCACCAAAATGCACAATGGAGTTCACCTTGTTTATTATTTAAAAGTTATTTACCTTGGCCTTGAGACCTGCAGAAATGCAGAAATGTTTTAAAGTCACTGACCTTGTTAAAGGTCAGTGCACCTTTTACAATTCAACTGCATTGAGCTCCAAGGAACAAGTCCCCAACGCCATCATAATTGAACACTTCAAGCCACTTTTTAGTTCAAGCTGCTCGCCATATGCCTGGATTTTAGTTTGCTCTACATTTTTACCTTTTTGTTTTTCTTCACATCGCCAAGTTCGACCATGCGACCACCTTTGCCTCGCCGTAAAATCATCCTGTATTCACCATTTTTGCCTGAGCAATATAGCATGGCTATGCATACTGAACTGCTCAAAAACTGCCATCTCCTCCTCAAGTTTGTATTTCTTCACCCTTGTCATCAACATTGCCTTCTCCTATCTCTGTCCCTATGTTGTCGTCATCAGCATTTTCTTTGTCCTTCAATTCACTGTCCTTTTTAACACAGGATCTCATCCTTGCAGTTTCATTACCTTTATTATGTTTAGCTGTTTTTCTGCCTTTAATTTTACTTTAGGTCGGCCTTCTATTATTTCCATGCAGTCAACCACCTACATCAAATGATGCAAGTGTCATTTTTCCTCCCCACACAGCACCGCCATCACCTATGCCATCATCATCATCAACACTACCATCTTCACCTCAACCATCAGCAACACCAACACCTACTCTGCCCTCTTCCTCCAAAACTTCGTCTGCCCATTTACCAGAACGCTGACAGAACAACTTTATACCCCGTATCAGATCTTTGTTAATATTAAATGATATTTTCTCTAGTTTTCATTTTGAAGAACGTCTATGTACTGCCTGTGGTGAAAAAATTTAGGTTCATTGTTTGTTTTTTCCCTTAGAAATAAAATAAATGTGTCACATTGAACAGATCCACAATACAAAATAGTATATATCTCACTTTCTCTTGTCCAATGTTTTCAGGTCGATATGGCTTTCTTTAGTAGAAGAGAACATTCGAATTTCTAAACTTTTGCGTAGTGACAATAAAATGGCGGCCCAGAATCGAAACTGCAAAAGTTGCGTCTATAACTGCGATGATCATCTTTTATATAATTCTTCACCCCGCAGTTCCCATACATGATTTTCATATATTCGCAACTTCAATTTATACGATATGAAACATTTTCATTCATACCCTCTCAAACACATTTTTCATTTCTTTTTGAATGAGTGAATATCTTTAATTTAGACATGATTAGAATAAAAGCAGTTAACTGCTTGGGGGGTCGTGTATGCTAAAATATATAATCTTACTATGGTATACATTAAAGATTGAAAATGTACATAGCATGCAAGAAATAAGATTAAAAGTTGAGAATTATAATTACATACTTTTGTGTCAAGGTCTTGGCAAATTTTAAGTAATTTCAGTAATTTCCTCTTCAGAAAAATAAAGGCGTTTGGCGCAGGCCAGACCCGAAAATGACCCCTCCCCCTATAAAAAAGTTACCATTCTGTCAGTTGGTGGATGTTTGTGGGATTTACGTTACATAATACATACACGTATGGGGCATACAGAAATCTTACCATTTTCTATCACAGCTAAGATTACTAGCTTTACCGTTTGAGCTGTGACTGCGATTGTCTTGACCACTTTCGTATTCTAAGTTGTCCCCAATGCACCAAGATCTTCCCAATCACTTTCAGACGGTACTTCGCTGTTGTCTCTGTCAAAGAAAGCTTCATCTTTTGCTGCAAGTTTTTTTTAGATGCCTTGATCTTGTACTTCGACTAACAAAATCATTGCAGTGACTGCAAAAATACCCCTTTCTACCCATGTTGTCTGATGTCTTTCTGGGTACGGTGCGCGTTTTACCTTTGTAAACAAAACATGTTAATGTGCTATGCTCACGTGCTCTATTTCCTCCAGTCAAGTGAATGAAATGACCAGTTTGATGGTGTTTAGCATAATCGACGGGATTTTGAACGTCACTTTGCTTACACTTTGTCAACCAATGTGTTCTCTTGTTGTGTCCTTCTGAGTTGGTGATACGTATTGCCCAAGTACTCCAAATTGAGGAAGTAACCATGGCTTTTTTTGGATTCACCCTAAAGACCGATCACACAGCAGCACACGGTAAGGCTGTAATTATTTTTTATTTTTTGGTCTCAATTTCAGTTTTCTTTGTTCATTTGTCAATATAGAAATAGTTGATCCAAATTGTTACCAAAAGTAGTAATAAATAACTGTTATAAAGTAAAACCTTCTCCTATTCTTTTATTTTTAGGTAACACTTTCACGAGGGCAAAATTGTCCTAACGTTCTTGTCACTAGAAACCATCAGGACATCCAGTGCCCACCAAGCGAGTAGCAGCTGGGAAGTCTCTTTAAATATGGATTTGGATATGGACGAAGATATGTTGCCCACTTTCCCCCCAGCTAGCCATTCGAGTAGAACACCAAGCAGAATTTCATCGACACCAGAAAACTCCACCACACCTACATGTCACATATGCGTCTAGTAAACAAAGGAACCTTCCTAGAGATATGGTTGTGAGTATAACAGCAATTAATATTTATTCTTGTGATGTAGATCCTTTGACCGAAGCTGGACAGAGGAATCTTAGTACTTTTGATTGACATATTGAAGCCTAGAGGGAATGTATGGAACCTTGGTTGTTTACTATTTATCATTCATGTATGATCTGTATTCTAATAGATCATGGGCAACAACCAATCACAGTGTAGCGTGCGCATAATTGTATATTATGATAGATAGATATTAGATGTTTTTTTTAGTCACGGTAGTCTTATCACTGCTTGTAAATGCCGCATGTACATGAAATGTGTCGATCAATTCGAATCTTCAGTAATTCTCACTGACCACCACCCATGGGGTGTTATGAAAACTAAGACCCTCAAAAACTAAGACCTACGACCTGTCTTAGTTTTTGAGATTACCAAAACTAAGACCCCCTAAAATATATATGAAGCTGAATTACCCCCTTTCAAAGACTACAATCCATAAAACAAACAAAAACTATAACCTGCATATTTGGAGACATATTTGTATTGAGGCTTTAAAAAGAGGATGAAAAGCCATAGTCTACCAGTGTATAATGTACACTAGTAGACTATAAAAAAATATGCCTTACCCTGCCGATTGTTCTGACTATGATTTTAACTGTCTTCCTTAAAATTGTAAAATTGGCTTTCCACGTGCTGGAGATGGCTTTTGCCTTGGTGTCTCTGCGACCGTGATTGCGTCACCTAAACATCACCCAAGGGGTGTTTTGTATTGATTGTTTTGCCTGGCCAGAAGAGGAAAAAAACATATTTTTGTGTGATGTTTAACCGATGACACTGTTGACTACCTGACAATTGGAAATGGTCAAGATTTATTCAGGTAACCGCATCAGGTCTCAGCAAAATGTCAGCCGGCAATAAAGACAAAAATAAATCTCCAGTGCAATGCCGAATTTACAATTTTTAAGGATAAACAACTAAAATTATAGACCAATTGGCGGGGTAAGACATATTTTCAGTGTACAATTATACACAGGTAATAGCTTTCATCCTCTTTTTCCTGTAAATTTTTAGAAGAAGCGGAGGCCATGAATGATTAGTGGAATGATTTATGTAATGATTTACATGGAGTAACTGAAGAAGGAAATGAATCAAATTTGGCAATTTTATGGGGTTCTATCAATGAAGACAGTGCTCTTGTCACCCACCTAAAAAGTTTTTTGGTTTAAAAAAAATAGATAATGTAAAAAATATTGTCAGAGAAACTGGAATTTAGCTTTCAAATGATGAGCAAAATCAAAATCAATCACGGCTTGGTTCTTCACCAGATGGAATCATAGAATTCAATGGGAAAAGAAAAACAGTTCTGGAGATTAAATGACCTTTCATGGGAGGCAAATCAGTTCCTTACAAAAATGCATGTGTCAACCATATCCCTCAAATCATGCTGGAAATGTTCTGCACATCCACTCAAGAATGTCACTATGTTGTTTGGACTCCCGTTGGCACCAAAGTTTTTCTTGATGAGAGAGATGGCAGTTACATAGTTTTTCTAGTGTTTTCTTGGTTTGGAATTCCTAAACACCAACATTTCTGGGGAAATGGCTCAGTAGCTGATGTCTGTCCAGTCTAAGTATGTAGCATAGTTGAAGAAGGACAGTGGCATAAATGGCGGCCGCGCGGAACGACCTGGTTTCGAATGCATGAAAACGAGGCTTGGTAGGCCATGGTTACAGATCACTGATCACAACAAGAATGGCGTCCTCTAGTACAGCTTCAACTGATACTGTGATTCTTACAGAAGACGATATTCCTGGAGCTTCTTTGGCTGGTAGAAATCCTTCTTCACTTAAGAATGAAGAGCTCAAATTTTGCTTATGTGTCGAGGCGATTCGCTTAAGGGACTAAAGATGAAAGCACAGCTCGTAAAACGGTAAGCACGCGTTCACAGCTTCCCGAGATCACAATAAATTCTGAGAGTACGCGTGAAATTGAAAAATATTTCTTGATTATATTGCAGAGTCCAAGAGTATATTAAAAACGGAAGAGATACTATGGTGGTCGATCCTGATCCGGATGAAATATACACAAAAAGAAAGGCGAGGGTTTCGAATCTACCAAATGGCGCCGCTCCTGTCACATCAAGTGTGAAATATCCGAGCGATGGCTGGGGTAAGTCGCTTGAAAGGATGCCGTCTTTTACGAGGGCAGAAATGAATCAGCACGTGGCAAATTCAGGAAAACGAGTCGCAAATGCTGAGTACCACTCGATTCCGACGAATTTAAGGAAAGCGAAAACATTTCTGCAGGAAGAGTACCTAAAAGAAATCGAAGCCAACAGCGATCAGAGGTATTTTTATTTGAAAGCAAAGTGCTTTCATAGTTTCAAGAAGAGTGAAGCTCCCCATGATCTTCATTTTGCTACGTGCATTGTCTCAGGCCAAGTCACACATGCCAACTGCTCATGCAAAGCTGGCAAAGTGGGATATTGCAACCACGTTCTTGCATTGATGTTCAAAGCATGCAAGTTTAGTTTATTTGACAGTAAAAGCACCGATGATTTGTGCCAGGATGATGATGAATTGCCTGATCTTGCCTGTACCTCACAGCTCCAGAAATGGCACAAAAAGGGTCGAGGGGACAAAATNACTATGGTGGTCGATCCTGATCCGGATGAAATATACACAAAAAGAAAGGCGAGGGTTTCGAATCTACCAAATGGCGCCGCTCCTGTCACATCAAGTGTGAAATATCCGAGCGATGGCTGGGGTAAGTCGCTCGAAAGGATGCCGTCTTTTACGAGGGCAGAAATGAATCAGCATGTGGCAAATTCAGGAAAACGAGTCGCAAATGCTGAGTACCACTCGATTCCGACGAATTTAAGGAAAGCGAAAACATTTCTGCAGGACGAGTACCTAAAAGAAATCGAAGCCAACAGCGATCAGAGGTATTTTTATTTGAAAGCAAAGTGCTTTCATAGTTTCAAGAAGAGTGAAGCTCCCCATGATCTTCATTTTGCTACGTGCATTGTCTCAGGCCAAGTCACACATGCCAACTGCTCATGCAAAGCTGGCAAAGTGGGATATTGCAACCACGTTCTTGCATTGATGTTCAAAGCATGCAAGTTTAGTTTATTTGACAGTAAAAGCACCGATGATTTGTGCCAGGATGATGATGAATTGCCTGATCTTGCCTGTACCTCACAGCTCCAGAAATGGCACAAAAAGGGTCGAGGGGACAAAATATCTGCCCAACCAGTAATGGAAGTCACCGTTACTAAGACTAAACTAGATGAGGCAAGGTGCAGAGAAGGAGTGAAATGCTTGATATAATTATGATGCAAGATGCAACCCCGAGCATGACTTTCAAGCTGAAATGAACTTGAAACAGGCTCTTGAGAAAATAAATCCTCAAAATGGGTTTATCAATAATGGCAAGAGAGGATTCTTCTCTCAGCAAATGTGTGGAGACGAAGTTTGGCAAAAGTCAAATTGGCTCATTTTGTAGCTACCAATTGACTCATACTGAGGCAAACTTTGTGGCTACCATTGACATTTCATCTGTACCAAGAAATGACATTGGTGAAACTGAACTGACTTATCCCAGGTTCCCGCTAAACTCGGGTAGTGATTTTGTATGGCCTGACAACTTGACTGTGTCTGAAAAGGCACTCATCAGTTCTCTTGTGGTTGCTGAAATTAAGATCAACAACATTGAGGAAGCCACAAGAGATCAATCATCCTCAGAGCAGTGGAAGAAGGAACGAAAATTCAGATTCACTGCTTCAAAATTTGACCTCATCTCAAAAAGGCAAAGGCACCATGAGAAGTTTGCAGTGGATCTCATTAATCCAAAACCATTCACCTCAAGGTATGTGGAACATGGCATAAAATATGAACCAATTGCTATCCAAGAGTATGAGAAAGTAATGTTTACACGGAAGACACCTGTTAAGGTTTTCAAGAGTGGGTTTGTTGTTTGTCTGGACATGCCATTTTTGGGGGGCTCACCAGATGGCAGAGTTGTCGATTTTGGATGCCGGTATCAATTTGGACTTGCCGAAGTAAAATGTCCAGAAACAAAATTTCAAGTAACCCCACTAGATGCCTGCCAAGACCCCAATTTCTTTTGTGAGGATATCAATGGACAGTGTAAACTGAAAAGGACTCATGCCTACTTTGCTCGAGTGCAAGGCCAGATGGTTGTAAGTGGAGCATCATGGTGTCACTTCATTGTTTACACAAAGAAGGGCATTTCTGTAGAGAGAATTCCATTTGATCCTGCCTACTGGGAAACTCTGAAGCTAAAGCTTCACACATATTACTTTACCATTTTATTAAAACTGCAGCAACTGAGTTTGCAAAGTAATAATCTACCACTTCTACTTCATTTTTCCCTTGTTCCTGTTTTATGATAATGACTATAAAACAAAGGGAATACAAATCAAACTAGTTTGAAAGCATTTTAATCAGAAATGCATTTTAATCTACAACAATGATGTAAACAGATGCTTGAGATTACATTTTATGTACTTTGTTTGTACTTGCATCTAGTTTACTGAATACTTCTTGTCAATTATTTTACATCATTTATCAGTTGACCTATAAGCTCCAATCTAGTGATCAGCAGTGAAATTCTGCTGGTGAAAATATAAATAATGAAACAAACCCAAGTCTTGATAATAGAGATCAGCAAAGTTAGACCCAGGTTTTGCAAAGAATCTTTCTCAACTACAACACCACAACTACAGGAAGTGTAGGTAACCTAGGAGGGAGAATTTGTGATCATGGTAATCATTGGAGCTTAATAGGTTGAAAAGAGTTGCAGTTCCAAACTTAAGCGTATCAGAATTACGATGGAGGGTTGTCTTAAGGCTATGAAGTAGTATGCCTAAGTATTTCAATCTTAAGGTTCATTATATATCAGTCTTCCTGAGTACCCAGTTGAGGTGATGAAGTTGGTAGCAATTTTTATATACAGCCAAGTGCTTTTGACATCCATGTATTTTGAACTACAGCTGTTCCATGCTTATAATAGTGCTCAAGAGCTTTTTTTTTTTTTTTAAAATCACATGATCTATGGAAAATAGTCTCAAAATGTATTGGAATACCTTGTGATATCTTTGGCTACACCACCTGAGGCAAACATGATTTCCCCTTAGTTTATAATTTTCTCATTGTTAAAATACCTGCTTCCTTAATATGCTTGGGTAAATTAAACTTTCTGATTACTTTGGCTACTGATAGACCCTACAGTCAACAAAAGTTTTTGTTCGGGGCAGTTCCCTTTTCTGACCTTGAAAAATATTTTGCCTTGGTAGGCTTTTAAAGAGTAAATTCAACTAGATGGGCAAATGTCAGTTTTCTCAGGCAAACCTCAAATTTATATAGGTAANTCAGTTGACCTATAAGCTCCAATCTAGTGATCAGCAGTGAAATTCTGCTGGTGAAAATATAAATAATGAAACAAACCCAAGTCTTGATAATAGAGATCAGCAAAGTTAGACCCAGGTTTTGCAAAGAATCTTTCTCAACTACAACACCACAACTACAGGAAGTGTAGGTAACCTAGGAGGGAGAATTTGTGATCATGGTAATCATTGGAGCTTAATAGGTTGAAAAGAGTTGCAGTTCCAAACTTAAGCGTATCAGAATTACGATGGAGGGTTGTCTTAAGGCTATGAAGTAGTATGCCTAAGTATTTCAATCTTAAGGTTCATTATATATCAGTCTTCCTGAGTACCCAGTTGAGGTGATGAAGTTGGTAGCAATTTTTATATACAGCCAAGTGCTTTTGACATCCATGTATTTTGAACTACAGCTGTTCCATGCTTATAATAGTGCTCAAGAGCTTTTTTTTTTTTTTAAAATCACATGATCTATGGAAAATAGTCTCAAAATGTATTGGAATACCTTGTGATATCTTTGGCTACACCACCTGAGGCAAACATGATTTCCCCTTAGTTTATAATTTTCTCATTGTTAAAATACCTGCTTGCTTAATATGCTTGGGTAAATTAAACTTTCTGATTACTTTGGCTACTGATAGACCCTACAGTCAACAGAAGTTTTTGTTCGGGGCAGTTCCCTTTTCTGACCTTGAAAAATATTTTGCCTTAGTAGGTTTTTAAAGAGTAAATTCAACTAGATGGGAAAATGTCACTTTTCTCAGGCAAACCTCAAATTTATATAGCTAAAGCTGCCTTCTTCAACCACAGCTAATGTAAGCAAAAGTTGTGTAGTAAGCACAATTTTGATTGTCAAACCATATAGGGATTTTCCAGTCAGCACAATGTCACTTGACATAATCAATAAAAACTAAGGAAATGTTCACAAAATTAACTGTATCAAAATAATAAATGTATCTGTCAATGTTAAGCTACAGAGTGGGTGAGGGTGTTGACAATGTGGGATATTTTTATGTTTCATGCTGTTCCATGTTTTAGACTAATTCAAGATGGCTAGAAACAGTTTTCACTAATTTCCAAGACATAGATTTTGATGAGTCATTAGAACTACTTTATATCAGTTGATGTCAAACTCATGGTATAAAAAAACTGCCCAGTTATTAAGTAAGTTGCTGTTAATTTTGTGGCACAATAGGTTACCATAGCAATATCTACATATCAGAAAGTGCTGGAAACTGTTTCAAGCCACTTTAGGCACTAATGATTGGATCCTGCATATTGCACAACATTGCACAAACACACCACATTTGATTTATTACCCCAAACTGGCTTAATGGAATAACTCCATCAAAGATGAGAAAGTTCTTCACCTTGTTGATAGCTCTTTCCACATGGATACGCAAACTAGCAATTTCTTGTGTTGCTATCACATCTTCAGCTGACATCTGATCAGACATTCCCAGGAAAGGGGGAATGTTTAAAGAGACTCCTAGGGGAAGTATGTCTTCAATCGTGAAACCCTTGTCAGCCATCACAGTGTCTCCTTTTGAAAAGGGAAGGCTCAAGAAGCCACTGCGTTCTACCATTTCCCTGTCTGATATGCTGCCAGTATATAGTTGCCCGATAAAGGTAAAAAACCCTTTTGGTGAAATTCCCACTAATGCCTTTAAAGTTGTATGGTGCTTATATGAACTAAACAGCTCACTATTTAAAAGAAGGCTACTCGGCATTTCACAACGCACTTCTGTGCAGTCAATGATTACCCTTGTGGTTGGATACTTGGCCTTAAAATCTTCTGGCATTGTCTCATTGACTAGTTCTCTGGAAGGCCAAATATTTATGTTGCCAAGTTTGAAATACAAAAAATTTATCCAAGAGATAAAAATTCTACTCACAGTTGGCTGAGAGACATTAAACAAGTGAGCTAAATGCAACTCGGCAAAACCTTGCCCCAGCCTACACAATGTTAGAAAAAACTCGTCCACTGGCTTTAAGGTCCTTGGTCTTCCTTGTTTCACTGGCCTGGCAGTGCCATCGACATCTTTCCCAGACAACCAATAACTAATATTTTCACCCCTGTCACCAGGATCCAAATAGTGGTACAAGGCCATCATTGTCTGGAGGTTTGGAAATCCAGTGTAAAATGCCACCAGTGAGTCCTGTGAGGCGATGTTTTTAAATGAAAACAACCGCTCCTCAAGTTTCTCGTATTTCTCTTCAAGATCTGTAACTTTCTCTTTCAGTTTTGAAACCAGTTCCTGTAGTTCTTCATTCTTCGCTAGAGCTGCGGAAAGCTTGTCTTCAAGGTCAGCTATCAATAAATCTTTCTCAGATTTCTCGGCAAAATGTGTCGTGTTTTGCATTTCCGCTGTTTCCGGAAAGGCCAAGTCGGCCGCCATATTTGTTGACGTTGCAATTTCACGGCTTTCGGCTGCCAAATCCGTAGCCTCACTAGCTTCTGACGTTAAATTCTTTGCCACAGATGTAGCCGTGAAGCGTGGTGTCGGCGGTGCTCGTTTTCTCGGCGAACTTCGTTTCCATGCAAATATGCTTGGCACAGCTCCTGGTTTGGGGCTAACCCTGCCGTTCAGACTTTTACGCAAATCCTCCGTCTTGAAATGTCTCGAACAAACCCGGGTTCCCTCATTTACGGAAAAATACGGCCCAACATCTCTCCTGATAGCATGGATCCATTGCTTCATAAGGTCTTCGTCTTCTGGAAAGCGAAAGAAAGAAATCTTTTCGCCCGTCTCTTTGTCTCGTTTGTCCTTCTTTGTACAGAGCGGTACACAGCAATTTGTGGGCATCTCACAACCTCTCCACGACGGATTTCGTACTTATAACGCAAAGATATCCTGTTCGGAAACTTGAAGAACCTTTTTATCCAGTTATATTCCACAATATCCACAGTTTCAACGACGCTTCTGAGAAATTTTGATAGCATAGGCGATTTGTAATACAAGTCTAAGTGCTCTACAAGGATTCTATAGCCTACCAAGCCTCGTTTTCAAGCATTCGAAACCAGGTCGTTCCACGCGGCCGCCATTTATGAATACGGTGTATTACTATGCGGTGCTTCCTCCTATCATCTAGTATGGGATTTCCTCTCAACACAAATTCACCACCATAGTTCAGTATCTGCTTCTCATCTCTAGTTACACCTCGGCGTGTAAAATTATGCAAATTTACTCAATCCCGCGGCCTTCCTCTTTCATAAGCAAGATGTTCATCCTTCACTCTGTCCTCATAAAGTAGAACCTGCAAGTCATTAGATACGAGAGCATCCCTTTCCTTTACAAGCTTTAAATAATAACTCAAGGTGAGTTTCAATTCTCCAACTATCACGTGGCTTCCTCTAATATGTCTTCTCTGCTTCTATTTAGAAACATAGTCTCTCCCTCTCTTAATTTTCCACTGGATTATTTCAGAGGTAACTAATTTCGTCCTGCTTGCTACAATGTCATCCACAGATTTCTTTAGGGCAGCTATCTCAAGCTCTAGATCTTTCTCTTTCTCTACAAAATCCTGTCCTATTTTTTCGTCTTTACATGTCACCACACCACAAACAGATATGTATTCAACATCTACTCCCTTCCTTTATTTGTACAGCTCAAAGCTACACCTAGCTAATCTACCATATAGTTTGTCAATTCTTTGTAAAGCACTACTCAAGCAAGAAGTCATAAAACGAGATTTGATAACCTTTTTATGCCAAATTTGTAAATTATTTGATATTTTGTTGTCTAAGCATTCTCTGCTACTTTTACATCCGTAATCTTTACTAACGGACTAACTAACGAACAAACTTAAGCGTTTTGTTCGCGCATAGGAGTAATTTAAAGTATACAACTGTTCAGTCCCTTAGAATTTTTTAGCACGTGACACGTACTGGAGAGAGAGACAATTTTTTGAATTTTTTTTAAAAAAATTGGCGTAATCAGTGGAATCACGTAACCCAGGGTATTTCCTCAGACTATCCAAACCTTCATGCAAACCTCTCTAGCACCAGAAACCGGACAAAAAGGTAAACCTTCATAACACATAATGTTCTGTATTTACGCTAAGACTAAATTTGTACATATTATAGAAAACTACACCAAATTTTACTCACCCTCTCCCGCTATAGACCTGCAACATAGACACAGCGACTTGTTCTAAAGTTAAAAACAAACCAAAATCCAGGTTTGAGATTTTTTAATAAAACAAGGAGCATCTTTAGGTAACAAAAGGCAGGTAGGGCTCAGCCAAATGGTACCATAATGGTGTCGAAACGTGTGGAAACAGGTTATCTCCATAACCCGCCCAATTCCCCTAGGGCTATTTTTTACATTCCCTCCCCTCCCTGACCTTTTTCCTTAATTTCCTTCTGAGCTCCTGAGGAGACAAGGCTTTCAACATTTTGTTTAAAAGGATGAGCTCATCTATCTCATTATCATATAGACTGGGGAAATATAAGTTAACAATTAGTAGAAAGGTTAATATAGGTGGGCTAATCATTTTTACAGCTGTCCCCGGAGGAGGAAATTTAAGTACGTAGCTGCCTAGCAGCCATAGAAATAAAAGAAAAGGAGAAAGAAATTGAAAAGAAAGGAAAGGAATTACAAGAAAAAGAAGAAAGAGTAAAACATAAAGCAATGGAAATTGAAAGCACAACTATAGAGGCCAAGCGGGTGGCTGCCAACTGCAACTAATGGCAAGGCAGCTAGACCGCTTGGCTAGCCACATCCTAGCCGAGGCCAAAAAGTAAAAAAATCAAAATCAAAAAAGAAGAAGAACAAAAGGAAATTAATACACCAGCATGTACTATATGTAAATTTAATGTACAAATCGTTTTCTTCAATACAAAAGAAATGTACAAATTTCTTAGTAGAAAATGGCCTAAGTCAGACCTGTAGTGATTCATAAACATATTTCTCGCATCCTGTATAATCCTTTCCTTTTCCATCCTCCCTTTTTCCCACACTACACTAATCTCTTTGGGAAATCTATCACTCTGCCCTAGATCTTTACAGATATCCAATAAGCAGGCACCTCCTCCATCATACACTGCAATGTATCCTCACCATCTAAAGGGGTTTCCCACTCAAGGAAGCACCTATTTTTAAAACCTGTCAGATAAAAGTAAATAAAATAACAGAGATTCATAAAGATGCAAAAGTCCAGATATTATAGAAAATAAAGAAATGTAGACAAAATTCTCAGTAAAATCCCGAATTAAACCTTTAGCATCTCTATAAATATAAACAATATTACAGGGTTGTCACTAAGGGCCGGGGGCCGGGGATTTACTCCGGCTACTCAGAACATGGCCCCCGGCTACTTTCGTCGTTAAATTAAACCAAAATAGCACACCTTTGAAACACACAAAGACTATCCATCAAACTAAATGCCAATTTCATCTGCAGCAGGTTTAAGTAATTTTGAAATACTCACGTGAAAAAACTAAGAAATGTCGGAAAAAGACATCTGACTTAGATTTGGTACTAGTACACACGCGTGAAAACTCTCTGTTCCCGAAATGTCAGTAGGGAGTTTTAGCAACGACGACGGCGACGGCAATGAGAACGTCAAAAAAGCAATAGGTTTATTGAGCAAAACAACTAGTTTGCACGTGCATCACGCTTTTTTGTACATTTCTTTGCCGTTACTGCACGACTACGACGTGAAAATGCCTAGTTTCACGTTTTATGGAGGACGTAGAACAAGCGACGACAAACTTTTCTTTCTCTTTCTAAACTTGAGTGCGGTCCCAAAGAAATCAACTCCAGGGAAATTGGCCTACATACTATTTTCAGCGAATTGAAATAAACGCGACAAAGTTGGAAAAAAACCCAATTCATTTTAGAAGTGACGTTTTCGCTGCCGTCACGTCTGTCGATGCTAAAGTCCCTAGTTTCAACCGTTGTGTTGGTTTGTGTTGGACATGTCGAAGAAGTGGCACAGGAATCTGCACTCTTTGTTCACGATGAAAGACCTGAGCAGACCTCTGTTGACATCACAAGTTGAGGCACCATCCTAGCGTTAAATCTCCCTGATGCTGATGTTGATGATAATGAGGATTATGATGAATTTGAAGAGGAAGACCATGACTGATTGCCACGTCTAACATATTGAGATTTAAGTGACCAGGTCTACATTCAGCTTTAGGTATCGAGTATATAAAATAACACACAGTCAACGGGAAATATTTGATCATTGTCTGCAAGTCATGATCACATCCTCTCAGTTCTGCTTCCAAGAAGTTATATATAAAAGGGAAGTTAAGCATTAGCATTACTTTTGCATTCTTCTCCTTGAGTCTCGTTTTGACATCTCAGTGTCGTTTATAAAGTATTAGCCCTGTCTTTTAAACGCTTTTCCGTAGGTCACTTTCTTCGTATGATAAATGATGTTTCGTTCATAAATTCAAGACTACTAATGTTACCAGTTGCACAGTTTAGTTTTGCCATATTTTATCCCGCGATTTTTCGTACGTTAAGAATCGATTGTCCTTCACATTATAAAACATTTGTAAAGTATCGTTGTGATTTAATTTTTCACTGGCCAGCGTGCGCCTTGTCTGCGTGAAGACAAGACTGCGCATATAACGTGACTGGTGCCTACCTGTTTTTTTTTTCAGGCCCGGTGCTTACATGTAAATTCCTATTTGGCGGCCACTAAAAAAACCCTCCAACGAGCATTTATGTAAAGTAAAAACTTATTATTTTAGTGTCTCAGAATGTTATAGTTTTCTTTAATAAAGACGTGATCATCATAAAACCGCTAATGATAGTTTTACCTGTGATAAAGATTGCTTTTTGGGGGCAGTAATGCCTTTTGGAAAACGGTAGAAGTTGCACTTCAAAAACTTCTTGGGGGAGGCGGGGGGAGGGGCTCCATGACACTTGAAATCTCAGTAACAACCCTGANCTGGCAAGAAAAAATATATAGCCCTTGATTTTTGTGAAAATGAATACAGAGCTTGGCTCCTGCACTACAGTATCCCAGTTCTAGAGGAAGTGCTACCTTCCCTGTATCTGGAGCATTTCACCTTATTAGCACGGTCCATCTGCGTTCTTTTGAGAGACATCCCGAGTGGAGATCTAAGTAAAGCCGAACTTGCTCTGAATGACTTTTGCAAGCTCATGGGGCAACTTTAAGAGGCAGTCGTCCAGTGACCAGACATTTTTTGTATTGACAACTGAAAAATATTACAATCCATGTATTCCTTCATGAAATCACTACACACTTATTACAATGCACTTCACAGAAATATTATCATACCATATAGTGGACATCAAGAAATACTTCCTGTTAAAAGTTATAGTTGACAGTGCCCTGACGTGGCACAGCAAATAAACAATTATTAGTACCATTTTAAAAGGCGCCCTGGTGTATGACTCTTTATATTTTAAGTCATAAGCGTTTTCTGTTCATCTTTAGGTCGTATTCATTCATTCCCTAATCCATCCTTTCATTCACTCAATCATCCACCCATGCATCTACCCATCCATCCACCATTTATACAGGCTAATTCATTCATTTATCCAACCATCCATTCCCTCATTCCTGCCTTCCTTCATTCTATCTTAATTTCTTTGTAGGAGAAAAAACAATGACAATGAAAGTACACATGCTGCGGCACATACCTATGTGTACCTTTGGGTATTCTTTTGCTTCCGTATGAGTCCAGTAATGGGTTTATAAAAAGCATGATTCATGGAACTCGCTATATTTCAGAGCAGGTGTGAAGATTCCTATTCTATTTGAACCTTGAAGGGAGATGGGGGATAAGATAGTTTACAGACCCGGCAAACAAATGTACAAA